GGTTTCACGACCGGTTCACAACATGAATCTCGCAGAAATGAGCTGCATGTTCTTGTATGATTCACATGCGATCTGGGTGCAGTGAGATTTCAGCTCATTAATTTGAATGCGCTGGAACGCGTTTGCAACCTGCATTTGGGGTGTCATTAAGTTAAAGTGTTCCTAAACCCAGGACCTTGCATTCACTATATCTGGTCTCCCACAGTACACAGAAACATGGAAGTGCAATTATTTTAGTAAATATAAACTGCTAAATACCTTTTCTCATCAGCAGTTAGAGCTGTCTTGTGACTTCAGCAGAGCACTGGTTAAAGCTTGTAGGAGGAGTTTTTTTCTGCTCTAGGAGGATGTGAAACCCCTGACCTGTCTGGACAGTGCTGATTGGCCCTGTGCTGATCACATGCACTATCCCAAGACGAAAAAAATAAAAACTCTCTAGCAATACACACCAAACTGAGCATGTTCATGTGACCACGGGTTCAGTCTGTATCAGGTGGTCATTTCAATAAGATGAAGGGCAGAGAAGAAAGGATCAAACTGTGTTTTACACAATGCAGAGGATTAACCCCTTAGGTTCCGCAGTGAGTATAACAAGCATGTATTACTGCATATGCAAACTGATTTTACTGTTTGGGGTTTAGTAACACTAATACAGATGCTCACAGCAAGTACAGTGCATTTTGAACATGGTGCGGGAAACGCACATGCAACATGGGATTCCCGCTTTGCGTTCTGGTGTGAACTAGCCTTCAAGGGTAACCTTTTCAGAAAAACACATGGAGGCTGAATTCTCCCTCTGCAAATGCTATTTGTCTGGCTGTCATGCTGGTGCTCTTAATCTAATGGTTTGCATCTCTAACCTGAAACAAGTATTATAATAAGGACGTCAGACTTTTGATCACAAAATCACGTGTCAAGGACTTAGGAAGTGTTGAAAACAATGAGTTGGCATAACAGCCAGGCAAATAGCATTTTCAGAAGGAGGCCAGCAATGGCAGCCTTCGGATTTCCTTTGGGGAATGTTCACTTTAATACATCTGCAATCACACTTGAAATAGAACGGCAAAAGTTTCTCTTTCACTATGAATATAGTGCAGGAGTTAGCACTTTTGCCTTGCAGTAATTGGGTCATGGGTTCAATTCCCAACCATGGCGCCTCCTGCACGGAGTTTGCTTGTTCTCCCTGTGTTTGTGTGGGTTTCTGCCGGGTACTCTGGTTTCCTCCCACACTCCAAAGACATACTAGTAGGTTAATTGGCTCCAGTCTAAAGTGCCCTAGTTTCATCTCTGGCCACGTGGGATCTCCTGCATGGTAGGGGCTGGGGAAAGACCTGGCAACTTACCCTGTAAAATAATTGCTAAGAGAATTCATGGAAAAAGTCGCTTATGAGTGACGGTTCATGCAATCGCCAAGGGTCATATTCAGCTGGATAGATTAGATAGATCGATAGATTAGATAGATAGTACAAGAGGGTTTTTTTTTTTTTTGCCAGCTGTGTCCTATTGGGGACATTTCCCTTCACTTCCTGTCCCATAGCCAAAACAGGAAGAAGGATAGCCATACAAAGTGAGGGAATCTCTGGATGTCATCAGATTCCCCAGAACTAGTCCCCCCATTGGAAGAGTTTCCCTCATTACTGTTCTTAGGACAACCCAAAATTTGGGATTTTCTTTTCCTTTCACTTTTGAGGAGAATGGTAAACAGGGAAAGTAGGGTAAATCTCCCTAAGGAGGGTACATATAGCAATAGAAACCTGACAAATGCTCTAATCCCTCGACACTGTCCAAAACTAAGCAAAAAAAAAACCCCTGAACCCTGAACAGTTTTGCTGATCAATTATCATTGTCTGTGTCTATATACAAACATACAGTGTGTATCCATACACATTTAATTGGGGCATATATTGCTGTAAATATACAAATAGTGCACCATTGATCTTTTTGCCAACTCTAAAAGCTTTAAGCAGAAACATGCTTCTCTATTAAATATGCAAAGGCATATTGCTCAACATGCAGCATCCTAACAAATTATTATTTCCACTGCGAGCCAACGCAACTAGCAGGATCTAACCTCTGTGCAGTACTTGAACATTGAATGTTTCAATGGCTAATTGTCTTCAGAAGAGAAGCCGAGCTGTTCTTAGCAGCAAGTACTGAAATATTAACAATAGTACATGCCCTGGGTGGCATGCCAGCTCGCCATTATTGCACTAGCATTACAACTTTACAAAAAGTCAAGTGGGCTGTATAGGTGGGTGGCAAATCACTAGGATGCAAAAATGTTATTTCTTATTTTATCGATTTTTTTTGTTGTTAAGCCTTTTCCTGAAATATTTCATTCAGTAATATACGTGCTCTATTAGTTTTACAGGGACCTATTCGATTTATCTCCTTTTTACTGCAACCTGGACACGATTTATGTATTCAGAGAAAACTGAAGTGTATCTCTCATGGTAGTCAGAAAATGTGGCAAAAAGCAAAGGATTTTCAGTCATACTTAAAGTGGAACTTTAGGCAAAGGAATTAAAATTGGCAGACAGGATTGTTAATGCAGAAGAGACATGCTTTGTCTCTTCTGCATTAACCAATTCAAGTCTGAACACTTTCACCCCCTTCCTGTCCAGGCCAATTTTCAGCTTTCAGTGCTATCACACTTTGAATGACAATTGCGTGGTCATGCAGCACTGTACCCATATGAACTTTTTAGCATTTTTTTGAGACAGAGAAATCTATTTTGGTGGTATTTATTCACCACTGGGATTTTTATTTTTTGGTATAGAAATGAAAAAGTCCAAACATTTTGAAAAAAAAGTGTTTCTTATAAAATTTTGCAAATAGATAATCTTTTATACATCTTGGCCAAAATGTATTCATCTATCTTTAGTGTGTTTTTACATACGGTCACCCTAGCAGTACAGTGTCACCATAGTGACACTGTACTACTTGGGGGTGATGAAGATTTTTATTTCTTTTTTTTACACTGATTGCTTTTACACCTATAAAGGCTGTAAATACAATAATTTCTCCTTCTCTCTGGCTGCATTCCTGCAGCCATTGAGTAATACTGTGCAAGCTGTGATTGGTCACAGCTTGTCACATGGTACAAGGCTGTTGTGAATACCCTTGTACCATGTGACCTCTGATTAGTAAGTAGTAAGCAATGATGTCAGGAAGTGACATCTTGTTTACTACTGTTCATGTGATCACGGATTGGCTAATCAGTGATCACATGAACTGGGGCCTCACACAGAGGTCCCGTACAGCGATCTGTGTCCTCCAGACACAGCGGGCACTGATTGCAGTGCCATGAGCTCCCAGAGAGTGTGCACAGGCAATGGATGTGGTGGGGGGGGGGGACATTTAGAAACATTTATCAACATGGGCCAGACAGGAAGAGGTTAAAGCTACTTACCTGCCTAACCGGCATCGTCTACTCCTCTTCCTGGTTTCCCCACCTGCTGCACCGAGAATCAGCAAACTAAATATCTTAGTGCATTGCTATTTCCTTCCTTGTTATTACACCTGAACTATCCTCACACATGGATTATCCAAAGCCCATTACCTATTGTCATTATTTTGGGGGGTTCATTTGAGCGCTCTCCTTTTTGTGTTTAATGACTATTACCTTGTGCTGGAGTGACATCATCCCCACCCAGCCAATGAAAGCAGCTGGCGATTGAGACCCAGAAGCCAGCCACCCTAAGCGGTCAGTGGTTAGGCAAGGAGCTCAGGGATGCCACATCACTGGAGCTCAGGTGAGTATTGTTTAATTTTAAATCTGGTAAGCAACAGAGATCCATTTGCAACAAGCCAAAGACCACAGTAGAAGTTGCAGTAATATATAGCAGTCAATCAGTGAAATTTTTTTTCTTGTTCAGATTGTTCCAGACTATAGAGTGGCCTGAGTGGCTTCTATAATAACCACATTTTCTAGAATTTATTTTTGTTTTAATTACTAAATTGCCACATCCTAAACCCCAAACCATACAGATTAGATTGCAGTTGAATGGCCAATGACTGAATGGTTGTGTATACTATATGGTATATACAGAAATTCCCCAGGCCTACTAGAGAAATTCAAATGTTTACATATTCTTAACAAGCAGTACATACACTTTAAAGCATGACCTCAATGACCTCTGTAGCTGAAGGCACTGTGTAGCAATTATTTCTCAATTTACAGCAGAAGCATTTCTTTTTCCTTTTCTTTTAGCAGATTATTTTATTTTGTATGCATGGGAAGAGGGGGGTAGCAGAGTCCTGAGAACCATCTTGAACAACTTCACAGCTTCCCTTGTCTCTCTTATGAACTATGAGATGCAGTCTGATTCATTGGACAATCCTGCCTTGTTTCTTCTGAACCTTAAACCCATTGTTCCTCCCTTGAACTTCCTTTTTATGCCATACCTCTGCACTTTCTATTTGCCAGATTATTGTGCACTCTCCAGTCAATATCTTGTTCATGTCACTCCTGCTGCCACTCATTACCAAACTTTGTCTTGTTCCTTGACTATGCATCTGCTTAATCCCAACCTGCGACCACGTGTTACCAACCTTGGCTTATTTACTGATTATGCTTCTGCTTGACCTGGATTGGTGGGGCAATACTGAGGGCTGCGACCTTGTACTATAATGCAGCAAAACCCACCTCCACCATCAGAAGCTCTGGTGAAGAACCGTTAGTACTTAGACTCCACACCTTGGGTGAGCCCACATCATCCACCAGGGTGACCTGCTGCTGCACATATCCAGCTGGTCAGTGGGAGCCTCTCTACTGCTATAGCTACTGGCCTCTAAGCCTGACCACGACAAAATAAAAAAAAGCAGTTGCCCAACAAGGGATTAAAAAAAACAGCTCTATGCCAAGTGCTATCCCCTGCACAGATAGGCATCATTCAGCCTGGAAGACTGAGGACATCAAGTGACTCAGGATGTCATTGGCCTGTTAGTGCATCACCACAGTGCCCAGAGGAGAGAGGGGTACAGTGTGTAGGGAGCAGCAGGGGCGGACTGACAACTCATGGGGCCCCCGGGCAATAGGGGATCATGGAGCCCTTGTGTCCTTGCCCAAACTCAAAAAAGCCTATGAAAAAAAAGGTACCAGGGGCATCTCATGGGGCCCCCTACTGACCCTGGGCCCTCGGGCAGTGTCCGAGTTTCCAAAAAGTCAGTCCGCCCCTGGGGAGCAGCTGTGGTGCAGGAACAAAAGGTGGACACGCAACAAGCATGGTCTGCTCACATTACCAAGCATTTTCCTCTTCTTTGGTGAGAGGTAAGTAGCATTGATTCTTCCTTATTATTTTATTGATGTTTAGCTAATAAATTGTAGTTTGCTGTGAAGTGCATTTTGTCTAAAAGGATGATGCTGGATGCTGGCTCTGCACAGTACAGCACTGCAGTTTGGTCTGATGCCCATGTGAACGTTATACCTAGCTGGATAAAAATCCCTACAGAGGATGGAGGATACTGTGAGCTCAGAGCCTGTGTGTGCCTCTTGGCATTGTGATACACTGCATTTCTGCTTGCCAGCATTGATGGAGACGGCATGCTTGGCATCTAAGGTGAAATGACACAGAGGCACAAAATAAAGCTGCCATCAGTTCCTTGCATGAACCACACTGAAAAGGAGGTCTGAAATGTGAGTACACAGAGTGGGTGAGCAACTCAAATCCAGAGCACCGCTCTATCCATCAAAGAGACCCTTAGCCATGCTTTCTCTCACAATGCCCTTCAGCCTCCTTCACTTAGAGTCATGAACCCCATCCCAACCTCCCAACTCCCCTCCCATCAATCATCCCACTGACACAGATGCCAAGGCCATCTTTCTTGGACTGACACCAGTAGCATTTATTCCTCCCACTGACATCAATGCAGAGGCAATTTAGTCTCTCACTGACATTGATGCAACAGAATGTTTCCTTGCAGTGCCACCAATGCAGCAGCATTGTTTCCTTCTCTTTCCTTTCCTGAAATATAAAGTGAATGAGGATTATTGAGGGCAGTAGTCTGATGTGTTAAAGTGTTACTAAACCCACAACAGTAAAATCAGTCTGTATCTGCAGTAAAGCATGCTTGTTATACTAACTGTGGAACCTAAGGGGTTAATCCTCCACATTGTGTAAAAAAAGCAGTTTGATTCTGTCTTCTCTGATCCTCCACTTCTGTTACTGTCCCCAAATCCATCTGTCATAGTGCAGAGTAGCAGGGGCATGACTGCGCATACTCTGTATGGTGTGTAGTGCTAGAGAGTTTTATTTCTTCTCCTGGGAGGGTGCATGTGATCAGCACAGGGCCAATCAGCACAGAGGGTTATGGGTCATGCAGCCTCATAGGACAGTTAGAGAAGAATGAAAACTCCTACAAGATTAACCAGTGCCCAGCAGGACACCGATAGGAGTCACAAGACTGCTATATACTGCTGATGAGAAAAGGCAATTAGCAGTTTATATTTACTAAAATAATTGCATTTCCCTGTTCAATGTACCGTGGAAGACCGGATACAGGGAATGCAGGGTCATGGGTTTAGTAATACTTTAGGTGTTTTGATCATATAAGGAATGCTTACACGTTGCTTTGCGCTTTTATAGAGATTACAAGCAATGTGTATTTATTTATTTCAGGTACTTGTATAGCACCATCAATTTATGCAGGGCTTTACGTGTGCGTGTGTGTGTGTACATATATTGTACATTCACATCAGTCCCTGCCCTCAAGGAGCTTACAATCTATGGTCCCAAATTCACATTCATATATACATTATGGCCAATTTACACAGGAGCCTTTTAACCTACCAGCATGTCTTTGGAGTGTGGGAGGATACTGGAGTACCTGGAGGAAACCCACACAGGTACAAGGAGAGCATGAAAACTCCAGGCAGGTAGTGCCATGGTTGGGATTCAAACCAATGGCCCTAGTGACTTTTTTTGTTACTCTGCATTTTCAGGTATAGGGTTTTGAAGATGTCCTGAGGTCTGAAATATATGTACTGGGGTGATCTGAGGTCTGAAGAATATGGATTGGATTACACAGTATTTTTTTAATACAAGCACATGTTGACAAGTCAAATGTGTGCAGTGTGTACTGTGAGTAGGCTCAGACAATAATTACCCATGCTGTTCTAAACCTCAATTAATATACAGTGCTTCATAGTCACACCCAATTTTTACGCTCTTTTTCCTTCCGCCTGTTGGCCCCAGAGTTCCAGTGATCCCCTGTCGGTATCTTTGGGAATGAGGAGCATATGACTCACTGCGTATTATAAAGTAAGCAATGTCTGTGTTGTGATCTTTCCCTCCCTCGTTAGTTTAGGCACCCAATCAAGCAACTTTTTGCTGCTTTATGATAATAGGAAAGGTGTGTAAGCCTTTTTTTGTTAATCTATTTGACATGTGGCTCAATCCTCTTATTCCCAGGTATAACAATTCTAATGATTAGCGATTGGCCTCTTAGCCCTGTATAAGCTCCAAATTACGATTCTGAGTTTAAGCATGGCTTCCTTTTTTTGCTTTCAGTGGGCAAATGAAATAGCTGGGAGAAAAGGAAAGGCGAGTATAAGCAAGCAGGTAGAGTGGCCGTTAAGTGCTTTGCCCAATTTCGAGAAGGATTTCTCGGACTGATCAGTACTGCTTTTTGTCAAGGTAGCCACGTTCATATTGAATCATCCATCATCCATAGCCAGGTCAGTGCACTATGACATAAGTCTGAAAGACCGAACCAGGGGTCTCATCATGGAAACTCGGCCATCAGAGTACTAAAGAAATAAAAGGCCAGTGGTAAACTGAATTTGCAAGCATCTCACAAAACATTTCACGTTAAAAAAACTCACAGAAATTAGTTTTACTGAACGGACTATTACACCGATACCCTTAAATTTTGAAAGCTGAAATATTATTGGTTGCTGTTGCAAAGCATTGTTCTTTCCGCTGTGCATTTCTTAATCGTATTCTTCTCAAAAGGGATTTTCTACTGATCTGTTTTTTCAAATTCAAGGTTTCCCATAATTAAAGTAAAGAAAGCAATAATTAACCGGGGATATAAATAAGTTCAGACTAATTAAGATGAAAGGCTATATCACACAGAGGACTAGAGAAGGGGTGAGCAAAGATACACCTACAAGGAAAGACTATGGTAGAGTATGAGGAACGTGAGAAACCCAAAATCAGCAAATAAGCATGGCAATATTGTACGCTATTCTTTGGATGTTAACCAAAAAAAATGGTATATGTGAAAACATGAGGGATGTTCATCTGCCTTCTTTTGCTTAACTGAACTGAATATGACAGCATGGTATACATTTGTAAAATGAATGATCACAATAATTACTGAAGCTAAAGAAAAGTTACGTGAGAATAGTATGACAAATGAAGAACTGTATGTTCGTGGTGTAAAAAAACCCTTGAAAAGAAAGCTATTGATATACTATTATAGGTAAAACATAACTAAGTTAAGATCTACCCCTCAGTTATTCAATATCAATTAACTATAAAAACAGTCCAAATTACTGCAATAAAGATCACATTAGTCATGTACACCAGTCCTAGGAGAGTCACAAGCTGGTTAATGTCAATGGTGCATTGTCCACAATATGAAATATTTCTTGGAAAACCTTGAAACCTGGAAAACTGTATAATTTCTCTATGGTTTAGAAAGCAGAATTAGGATGGTGAGGTTGAGATCAAATAGCTTTACTTGGTGTTACAAATCAAAAGTCAGCAGCTACAAATACTGCAGCTGCTGACTTTTAATAATAGGACCTTTACAAGTCCAGGGATCCAGCATGGTCCTCACCCAAGCCATCTCTTTGGGTCCCTAGCACCAGAATGTTTACTTTGGGAAGCCAACTGTGACTGCTTTTGGCTTCACAGCCGGCTTCCCACTGCGTATGCGTGGGCCACACTGCGCTTTGTGAATGGTCCTGCAGCTGAGACCTGAGACGTGTCATAGAAATTGCAGGGGGAGGGGGGTGGGCGGGAGGAGAACCTTTGGTGGATCCACCATGGTGATCCAACTGGATTGGAAGTGGGTACCTGTCAAATGTCGCTTTAAGTCTTCATGAAGTATATAGAAGAAGATTAAGAGTAGCACATTCCAGCTCTTTATCCACAGATAGTATGAAGATTTACAACATACATTTTACAGGTGGTACCCAGAAAAATTTGTAATTGCTGCCCCTATACTATCAAACAAATTAAATCCCAAATTAAGTAATTGGATTTAGAGTCCAATAGACATGTACTAAAAACCTACTGAAAAGCTTTCATAGTGTTTCCTTCATTTCCTGTTATAGCAGCTGTATCTAAACATGACTGTGCAGTTCAATAAGCACCAGAATTAGGGCTCATGTACACGGGGCGTTTGGAAAACTCTTCTGAACGATGGAAACTGCTGGAAAACGTAGGTTAAAAAAAACATCAGTTTAGCCCGGTTTATGTGTGTTTGCATTTAGAAGCGTTTTTAAAAGATAACCTCAGAAGACCTTCCCAAATGCCCAGAATGCACTAAGAAATAGTAAGAAATTAACTATTTCAGACATTTTGAGAGGAATATAGAGAGCAGAAGCAGAGAAAGCAATATGTTTTGAGATGACCTGTCTTTTCTGGTTGTATTCACTATGGATCCCATCATGAGCATAATGCAGCACATTCTACTATTTTTCCTTCACGCGAAACCTGGAACTGACTGCGCTGGTGTACTAGGTCCATTTGAATACATGGGAAAACGCTTTGCATACATTTCCGATGATGAAAAAAGGCTCTGGACAGCATCTGGACATGGAACCCTTAAAAAACGCTTCTAAACACAAACGCTTATAAACGCGCTTAACAGTGTTTACAAGCATTTACAAGCGTTTGGCGTTTGAAACGCCGGTAAAATCTACTCCTGAACACACGTTTGGTGCGTTCAGAAAAACTACTGTAAACGACTATGTGTACATGGACACATAAGAAAACATTAGGGAGAGTTCAGCGGCTGCTGAAAAAAAACGCTGAACAGCTCCTGAACGTCAGTTTAGCAGCTGCAGTGTACAGGAGCCCTTAGACTGTGTTCTCCCAAATCAGCCCTTCATAACAATGCTAGTCTGACACGTCCCCTTCTTCTGTAATATAAATCCATGAGAAAACACTTATAATGAGGGGTGTGTCCACTACTCAGCTATACCAGCTTAGAGCACTTGAGAAAAGAGAACGGGAAGCAACATTTTAGAGACAAGCATTTTAAGGCATTTCCAAGCAAAAAAACAGCCACAAATTTAAAGTGATACAAAAGATTCTTTTTTTTTTTGTAAAATAACAGACATGTTTATACATACCTGCTCTGTGCAGTGGTTTTGCACAGAGCAGCCCGGATCCTCCTCTTCTCAGGTCCCCCACAAACTCTCCTGGTCCCTGCCTCTTGTCGGGTGCCTACACAGCAAGCAGATTGCTATGGGGGCACCTGCTGCTCCATGTGTCCACTCATACAAGGAGCCGCGGCTTGGCCCTGCTCCCTCTCTCCTCATTGGCTGACTGGCTGTGATTGACAGCAGCAGGAGCCAATGGGGAGGCAGAGACCCGGGACAGCCGAGGCTGTTGTGCACATCAGTGGAGCTTGATGGGGCTCAGGTAAGCATTGAGGGGGCTGGGGGCACTGCTGCACACGGAAGGTTTTTTACCTTCATGCATAGAATGCATGATGGTAAAAAAAACCCTTGAGCCTTTACAACCACTTTAAAATATGTGAGGGTACAGAACTAAAAAAAGATAAAAAGCTGTGACAGTTTACTGGGTTTTAATTAGGAGATTGATGATGGTCTAACTTAGACACACAAAGGGGGAGATGTACTAAAACTAGAGCGTGCAAAATCTGGTGCAGCTCCGCATAGAAATCAATCAACGTCCAGGTTTTATTGTCAAAGTGTAAAGGCTAAATTCATCGTTGGAACATGTAACATGTTTTCCCCTATTTATTCTGCCTCCTCTGCCCCCAGGGCGGGGGATCTTCTCCCAGCACTCGCTGTCACTATTTAAAAACAGAGTTCCTTGACAAAATGAACCAAAAGTACTATCAGACACTGCAGCTGATGACTTGTAGTTCTCAATGAACTGCTAGGGAACTGTTGAGTGCTCTCGTAGTCCATCAGTTCTTCCTGCAATTCAGTAACTGCCTGTCCATATGGGAGGTAAG